ACAGCCTCCAGTATGGATTGCATCTCAATGTAACAAAAACAAAAATCCTCACCACTGAACCAGTAAACAACATTTTTATCAACGGAGAAAAGATTGAAAAAATTGAAGTTGTCAATATTCATGGAAGCAGCAGTCAAGAAATCAAATTGCATTAGGCAAATCTGCTGCACAAGACCTTTTTTTTTAAAAAGTGTTGAAGAGCAAAGATGTCAGCTTGAGGACTAAGGTGCGCCTGACCCAAGTCATATTTTCAATAACCTCATACGCATGTGAAAACTAGACAGTGAATAAGGAAAGACTGTAGAAGAATTGATGCTTTTGAGTTATGGAGGATATTGAAAGAACCATGGGCTGCCAGAAGAACAAACAGATCTGTGTTGGAAGAAGTGCAGCCAGAGTGCTCCTTGGAGGCCAGGAGGGCCGAACTTCATCTCTCATACTTTGGACATGTTGTCAGGAGGGACTAGTTGCTGAAGAAGAATATCATGTTTGGTAAGGTGGAGAGCCAGATAAAAAGAGGAAGACCTCCAGTGAGATGGATTGGCAAAGTTGCAACATCAATGGGGTTAAGTGTGGCAACAATTGTGAGGTTAGCCCAGGACTGGGCAGCATTTCGTTCTGTTGTGCATAGGATAGCAATGAGTTAGTATGGACTCAATGGCACCTAACAATAACAACAGGAGTCCTGTGTGGCACTGTGGGTTAATGTGCCAGACTGCAAAGCCATTTGAACTGCAAGGTCAGCAGTTCAAGTTTACCAGCTGCTTCTCAGAAACCCTTATACAGGGGAATGGCACTTAACAACAACAGGTATTGGAGTCCTGGTATGGTGCTGTGGGTTAGTGCACTGGACTGCAAGGTTGGTGGTTCAAGTTCACTAGCCATTCCTTGGAAACCCTAAGGTTGCTATGAGTCATAAAGGACTTGACTGCACGGTACTTAGCAAGAATTGTTTAAAAAATGTATCATCTGCAACTCCTTGTAAAAGTTCCTACCTTCCCTGTACTTTCCCTTTGTTTAAAACTGTCTGTTTCTCTTAACAAGGGAAGACCCCAGTGCATTTTCTTGTAAGATGCCCTGTGGACTCCCTTTCATGAAATGCAATTATTCCTTTAATAAAATATTTTATTTTCTAATTGGGTTATCAGTTTAATGCTTCCACTAAGACATTACTAATTCCACTACATTATATCTGTGTGGCCTTAAGCACATTTACAGTACTTTTATGAATCTTGTTTTTCTCGTCTGTATCCACCATGCACATTTTGGACAGTTGTAGGTGGGATTATGTTAGGAAAAGAGCTTGATGTGGTTAGTATGTAATAGGTGTTTAAAAATGTTTTCTTCCTACTCCTTGTACTTCTGCAGCACTTTTCTGTTCACCCTGTTCTTTAAAGCTGTCACCAGTGCCACTGCCAACAGAAATCACCTTTCCATCCCTTATCTTGCCATTCTGTGGTCCCTGCTCTGACCACGATTCCTCACATCTGTGCTGCATCTAGCACATTCATCTTTTCCTAGTATCCCCTGCTTTCTGACTTCCCAGCCTCTGTTCAACTCATTTCATTTATTTATAGTGCCCTCCTTGGAAACCCTATATAGGATCACTATGAGTCGGAACCGACTCAACGGCACTTAACATAGTGCCCTTCCACCAACTTCCACCTACTGAAATCCTACTTATTCATCAGAGCCAGTTCAAATGCCATCTTCCTATCTCTTGTAAACCTCTCCGTATGGCTACAGATTGAACCATTTTCTGTACACTGTGTACTTTACTGTAACACTTACTCAGCATGCCTTGGATCACAGTTAATCAGGCATGGGTCTATCTCTTCTATTGTAAAGAAAGCAGGAAATGAATTTAACTGGGCTGCTTAATGCTCAGTTTAACTTCATAGCAAAGAATCCCTGCCAGACCCTTTTTCTAACTTAACCCCAAACTGTCCCAACCCCAATACCAGGCTTCAAGCCCCAAGTGGGCTTTTCTCCAATCTCCTTATCTTCTTTCCCAACCAATCCTTTTTCTCTAAATGAACCCTAGTGTATCCTCTATGGGGCACAATTCTGGGTTCCAGCTCTAGAGAGCAGAGCTACTCATACTTCCACCACCGGTTTCATGGTAGGCACTGAGTCATCCCTTGGAGATCCCTGGGCCTCCTTACCTACCCCCACTGGGGTGGGCAGGATGCCTGCTGCCTGGCCCCAGCAGGTCAGAGGAAGCCAAGGGCCTCTAGGGCTCAGTATTTTTATCAGCCTAGGAAACAAGAGACACAGAAGCGGAAATTGTGTGGTCAGAGAAAGTGAACAACCCTCATCTCAGGGGAACCCCCACCAAGACTGGAGGCCAGACACCAGGGAGGGACATTGAAGAGAGGTCTGGGGCCCAGGTATCAGGGCTTGTTGTGCTTTGGTTTCATGTAACTCTTGCAAAAGGGGAAATGCTGTGCTTAACACCAGATAAAAATATCCTGAAGTAGTAAATACAGATAGCATGGCTTTTAATTGGCTCAGCTCTCAGCCCTGTGCTTAGGGATCCTAACCCCAACTCCCCACCCCACCCCACCTCCAAGCCTAGGTTCTTTGCATGCCACTTCCGAAATCTCCGGTCTGTGAGAGGAACCGGACGGACGCCTGGCTTGCTCACAGGCCTAAGTCTCTTCTCTGAATCACAGCAGCTTCCTCTCACAGGATCGTTCTCACCAGCTCTTCCCCCCTCCTGACCCTGAACATCTGTCTGATCTCTCAGAGACTTTGGGCCCCTTCTCAACTTCAGGCTGTCTTCTCGGAAGACATGCCCAATCCCCCACTTGTATGTTTCCAGAGGGTTCCCCTTCCTGTTCTCTGCTGTGCTTCACTTCTACTCCCCGGTAGCTCCTGTGTAGACCTGGGCTCAAAACTTGAAAAGAGCAGCTTCTCATACAGACTATGCCCATACCAACATACGCCTACTCTTTTCTTCCTGAATCCCGACTGTCTTGAGTGTAACCAATCATGCTACATTAACCTAATTTACTCCATGCTTGTAGTTAGCCTAACTCACACCAAGTTTGTCCTATTCTTCACCCCAGTCTCTGTGGAATTTTTATAAGTTTGTTTTGCAGACAAATGTACTATGTGCTACCATCTGGACAATTCTGCCTGGAAGGTTGGAGGATTATTAAGACACTGAAGAAGATTGCTTATACATGGCAAATTCTACTCTTGTTTTATCTGATTGTTATGGTTTAACATAATATTTACATCTTGTGATTGGCTTGTGACTTGAGCAAATGTAAAGTACCTGAAGTAGTGTGCTCTCCCAGTGTGCATCCAGTGTAAGTGTACAGAGATTCAGTATTCTGATCATAAGTGAGAGTCCATTAAAATAGCCTGCATTGCTGTTGTCAGCTTCTAATAAAACTTCTCTTTATCTAACTTGGGAATTGGTGAGTTTGGCTTCACTGCACGGCATGACCCTTATCAGGGATAACACAGGGGACGGCACAGGTTTTTGGTACTGTCAACTTTCTGGAGTCCTGGTGTGGTGAAGTGTGTTAATGAGCTGGACTGCGAAGTCAATTTGAACACAAGGTTGGCAGTTCAAGCTCACCAGCTGCTCCGTGGAAACCCTATGCAGGGTCGCTACGGGATAGAACCGACTCAAGAGCACTTAACAACTTTCTGGAGGTCTGGTAGGTAGTGGGTTATAAGTTGGGCTGCTAACTACAAGGTCAGCAGTTTGAATCTACTAGCTGCTCCACAGGCGAAAGATGAAGCTTTTTGTTCCCATAGAAATTTACAGCCTCGGAAACCCTACATACAACGTCGCATGAGTTGGAACAAACACTATGGCACTTAACCACCAACACCACAACTTTCTAGCCCGGTTTCTAGGAAACTGAGTGAGGAATATGAATAGTGATAAGGATGGAGTCCTCACTCCCCCTATCTTGTGGGAGGCCTAGACCCTCATCCAGTACCTTTTAGGACTTCAACCACTGGTTCTTGTAAAAGGAGATGTTTATCTCAAAGGGCAAGTCTGGATGGCCCAGAGATAAAGCCCAGGTTGGGATGGGGCCAAAATCTGGATGGGGAAAGAAACTGGAAGACAAGATTTGGGGCCCTGAATGGAGAGGGCCTGAAACAGAGGCCACTAAAGAGTTCTGAGTGACTAGACAGCTGGGAGCCCAGCAGCCTGGTTGGATTTGGGTGTGGATCTCTGATTGCCCAACAACAAACAACCCAGGTTACATAATTTGGCTCTTTCCTTCTCTTCTTCCTATTTTTAGCTATTGAATTTCCACGCCCCCACAGGGTTCTTCATCTATTCTGCTCTGTCCCCTATGCTTCCACAGCCTTATGGTCCCTCAGCTGCCCCCCAACTCAGATCACTACGTGACTCAGCAAAGGGAAAGCCCTGTGTGTGGGGAGAGGGTGTTAAGTGGGGTGGAGGATGTGGTTCTGGTTGGGGAGCTGGGGAGGGGAGGGAAACTGGTGTTGTTCCCTTTTTTTTTGCCTCTGTTCACATCTACTGCTCCAGCCGCAGACTGCAGAGTGGACAGGACACCAGCACCAGGGGTGGGAGACTGGAGGGCAAACTGGGCCTTCTTAGGGATGACCCTGAAAATGGACAAGCAGGAGGCTTAACTCCAGCTGAGGGCATGCAGTAGTGTGTGCGTGCAGGTTGCCGGTGTGTAGGAGCTGTGGGTTTCGGCAGGAGGGGCGGGAAAGGAGATGTAATGGGTGATGAAAACCATAGTAATGGAAAAAGGCAGAGGAGACACTGGGAGTGAGATGTGGAACTAGGTCTTATTAGGAAATGGCAGAGTCAAGGAGCAGTGGTGGTGGCCCACATCCCCCAGCCCCAGCTCTTTACAAGTTTCGCTCCCTCCCTATATCCTCTGCTGTGCAGCATCCACCTCCTCCTCATCCTTGTCATCTCCATCCCAGGTCTTACCCTTCCTTCTGCCCCACCCCTAAGGCTTCATCCCCTGCAGTTTCTTGTGTTGGTCACTGGGTCACTTGAGAGCCTCCATATGGCGATTCAGGGCCTGGGAAAGAGCTGTCACAGCTCCCATCACACGGCCCAGCTCCCAGGTTTCAATCTGGCTCCGGAATCGCTGCAGGAAGCGGTCAGGGTGCCATCGGACCTGCTGAACCCTCAAGTACCTCCTCAGAGCCCCCTGCTCTTCTAAGGGGGGGCCTCTGGCCACCAGGGCTGCTGCCATGGCCTCTGGGTCTCCACCCCCAGGACAGGGCCAGGGCACATCTCCAAAGCGCCAGAGACTGCCCCTCCCTGGCCCTCTAGTGTGCTCAGCCCTGGGCCCAGCCCTGGCTGGCTCTGGCCCTTGGTCCCCATGAGCCTCCTGAGCCCTTCTAGCTCGGCTTTCACGCAGTTCCTCCTCCTTGGCCCGGGCTCGCTCTCGGAAGAGCCGCTGTTCCTCCTCCTGCTGTCGCCAACTGTAGCTGGAGCCTTCAGCCCGTTGAGGTCTGCAAGCTCCCTGTGCTTCCCGCTGCTGCTGCTGCCGCTTCTGAGCATGCTCCCGGGCCAGGCGGTCTGACCAGGCTGAGAAGGACTCTGGTTCCTGGGTCTCATGGGAAGAGTCATCTGTTTGGGAAGGTGGGTAGGGGAAATTGGGGAGAGACTGTAAGAAGGGATGGGTCAAAGGAGGCAGAGAAGCATAGAAGAAGAAGAAGGCAGAAGCAGCCCAATGTGGAACATTTATGCAATGGGTATAGAAAAAAAACAGCTGTAGATGGAAGAGATGCCTCACCTTCAAACCTCCCAATGACCTCCTGCCACTCATCCTCCAGCTCTCCCTGCAGCTTTTGCCTCCATTCATGCTCCTTGGAAGCCTCATCTTCTTCCTCTTCTTCAGCAGAATCCCAGGGTGGTCCCCAGCCCAGAATTTGCCCCGGAGTCTCCCCGTCCTTATTCTTTATTCCCATTGCAGAAGGGCAGCGACTCAGCAGTGGTAGGAAGAAGTCCGTGTAGGCTGTTGGTAGGATAGCAGTGTGCAGAAGTTAGCTTGGGCTCCTATACATTGGCAGGGCCACCATCTTGAATTCCAAGGCGTTCTGTGGTTACTTCCTTGAGGTCAGAGCAATGGATGCCTCTGTATATAAGGAAATCACCATGGCTGACAAATACTTACTGATAGTTTACCACATGCATGATAAGTGAGGCAGTTTAAAATATTCTGATCTGTGTCCCCACAAACTATTTTAGTATCTTGGAAGTTCTACTATGTTAAAAAAAAAAAAAGAAAAGAAGAAAAAATAAAAATTCTGGTTTGTTTCCAGCTAACTCGAGTATTATCAAATAAATCCTTTGACTAAAGACTCTATTTTTGGTTTGAAAATGTTGCCATTATGGACTTCTTATTATATGTTTCTCACCTAAAACTATACCTCAAATTCTGGAGACTCTTCTGTACAACTACAAGTATTGTTGTTGTTAGGTGCTGTTGAGTCGCTTCTGACTCGAAGTGACCCTGTGCACAACAGAACGAAATACTGCCTGGTTCTGCACCATCCTTACAACTGTTATGCTTGAATCCATTGCTGCTGCCACGGAGCCAATCTATCCCATTGGGAGTCTTCCTCTTTTTTGGTCACCCTCCACTTGACCAACCATGATATTCTTCTCCAGGGTCTGGGTTCTCCTGATAATATTGTTGTTGTTGTTAAGTGCTGTCGGGTCAGTTCTGACTCATAGCAGCCATGTATAGGGTTACCATAGAACATCTGGTGAGTTTGAACACCAACTGTGCAGTTCAAACAGACCCTGTGGTCAAGTGCTTATCCTACAATGCCACACCAGGACTCCAATAATTACAAGTATACAAATGTAATATATCCTATTTATATATTTCTCAATAAACTGACTAAAAATAAGTGTTTTCAGGGAAATTTCTGTCAGTCAGTCTTACTCAGGGGATGACAGGAGCGAGGGCAAGAAGATAGGGGGTTCAGACCACCGAAATGTGCTCAACAGTAGAGCAAGCAATTTCCAAATGAATGCTGACCTAGGCCAGGGAAGAGGGCTGAGAGGGAGGAGCTTGGGGGAAAACAGAAAGGAATGGATCTTCTGGAGATCCCATCTTCCTGAGCCCTGCCTTATTGCACACACTCGATTGTTAGCTGAAGGTTATGTTACTTAGCTTCACTGCCAACCCAGGTACCATTCCCCAGGCCATCCTTGGGGGCCACCAACCATTCTTTCATTCTGGGAACAGAGGATGATAAGCTAGGCACCTCCCTTCTGGTGACCTACTTTCTCTTCCTAGGGCAGGAGGAAATGGGCAGCGGTTCTTAAATCTTTATTCTGTGATGCTGGAAAGTACTGATTAGCTAGCATAGGATGGGACATGTGAAAGGGCTGTCCGGCCACTGCCAGAAAGGCAGAATTGGCTGAAGCTTTGATCTGTAAGACCCATGAACCTTACTCTTCCCCTGGCACACTTGAGTGCCCAACCCAGACCACGTTAGACTGAGGGAAAGGGGCATTTCTCTAGTACTGACATGACCTGTCACCAGCCCTCCCAATCTGTCTTATGAGTACACATTCCTGTCTTTTTAAAAATGCTTTTTCCCAATCAAGGTCCACTGCAAGTGTGAGGGCAGGTGGATGGGAGGCTTTAAAACTCATAAACTTTAAAAAGTAAGGCTTTCAACAATAAAAACATGGTAAGTAAATTACAGTATAGAATATTAACAGACCATGAATATACGGTTTGTGTGAAAAAGCTGGCTCCAAAACTGTATACAAGTGTCAATCACAACAATGTTAAAAAAAAAAAAAAAAAAGACCAAATTCTATGGCTGAAAAAAAGTAGACTTGAAAGAAATATGCACAAATCTAGTCTTTAGTTGGTAGGACTACAGTTGGTTCTCTTCTCTAATTTTATTTGATATTTAAATATGAAAATGATATAGTTAATGGGAGAGGGTTTTTTTTTTGTCTCTAAGAAGGAAGAATAAATGTGATCTCTGTTAACAGTTTGCTATGATCCCTTCCAGTTCTGTCTTTGAGTATATAAACATATATAGAGGGCAATTTTTTTTTTTTTTTCCAGATACATGATTTTTCTAAACTTATTGTTGGGAAACTGGTTTTTTTCACTTAACATCTCAGACGTATTTTCCACAAGAATATATTCAGGTCTACCTCATTCTATTAGAAATGAATTTGTTGTGTTCCACTAGTGTATGAAACTAACACCTCCCCGACCCAGACTTTAATTGTTTCCAAAGATGTTTAGCTTCATACATACGTCTTTGCAGACTGCTTCAGTATTTGTGTGGTAGATTCTTAGAAGTGGAATTTCTGAGTCAAAGAACATATACAATGTTGTCAAATCGCTCTCAGAAATATTTGTGCCATTGTATACCTTCACCAAGATTATACAAAGGGGCTTCAAAAAGTTCATGGGAAAATGTCATCATCTTTTATTTCCATTTTTCCATGAACTTTCTAAAACATCCTTGTATAAGCATGCCTGCATCTTCCCTTACCAAAATCTAATATCTTTTTTAATTTTGCCAATCTGATAGACTAAAAAAATGATGCTATGACTAAAGTTGCCCTTTCTCATGTGCATATTGACTTTAATTTTTTGTGTGTGTGAATGACCTTGTTCATATCCTTTGCCTACTTTTAACTAGATATTATGTATGTGAAAGGACTTTATGGAGTATAGATATTAACCCTTGGTTTGCTATACACATGGTTGAGGAATCAAAAATTTCATGGAAAAATGAAATTAAAAGATAATGGAAGTTTTCCATGAACATTTGAAAGCCCCCTCGTATATGGCAAAGGAGGCACAGCAGGATAGCACTGAACTGCTAACAGCAAGCCACCAGTGGCTCCTTGGGAGAATGATGAGGCTGTCTGTTCCTATAAACATTTACATTCTCAGAAACCCTCTATAGGATTGCTGTGAGTTGAAATGGATTCAATGCCAGTGGGTTAGGGTTTTTGTTTTTCGTATGTGGTAAATATTGCCTTCTCTCTTTAAAAAAAATGTATGCAGTCAAACTTTTATCAATCTTTTCTTTTGTGGCTTTTGACTTTGGTTCTTAGGAAGACTGTTCCCATTTGAAGATTATAAAATATTCCTTTGTGTTTTCTACTATTTTTAGGTATCTTATTTTTATTTTTTAGAAAATAAAAACCTTTAAAAAGACACAATATGTAAATGGCTCTGTTCATATTACAGAGTGTTAATATGTCATTTTTGCCACATGCTTTATCTTTAGAAAATAAAAACCATTTATTTAAATTTTAAATAAAATTTAAAGCTCTCTTTGATACCCCCTTCCAAGTTTGTTGTTGTTAAGTGCCATGGAGTTGGTATTTAACTAAAACCCTTGTTTTAGTCCTCCCCTTAGAGTTCCAGTGGTAACATCTATGAATTTGGTGTATGACTTTCTGTCACGTTTAGGACTGAAGCTGACTGTAGTCAGGTGGGAGGTAGGGCTCTGTTTTTCTTCAGATGAACCAAATTGTTCCAGCATCATTTATTGAGTAGCCCACTCCCACTCCAGTAATTTGAAATGCCACCTTTATTATCAATTTAGCAATACAGAGCAATTTTTCCCAATGTTCTTTAATTAACTTTCATGTTTATTCTAGAAAAAATAAGTATGAATAAACATTCTGTGGAGTAAAATGACAATTTGTGATGAAAACATTGCTCTTCTCCCAGCTGTGACTATGTGTGGTGTGTCACAGAGTTGGTTCTGAGTCACAGCGACCCTGGATAGCGTTCCGGAGGTTCTAAATCTTTACGGGAGCAGAAAGCCTCATCTTTCTTTCAAGGAGCACCTGGTAGATTCGAACTACTCACCTTGAGGTTAGCAGTCCAGCTCGTAATCCACTACACTACCAGAGCTTTCTCCTAGCCATAGCTAGACATGATTTTTCTACCCCTAAGGGACATACTCCAGCTTCAAAGTAAGTGTGGAAAAATGGAATAGAAAGATAATGGAATCTTGCCACACATTTTCTGAAGACCTCGTATACATACTAACTGGTACAAAGAGACAAGAAAATAAATCAGTAAAATAGCAAAAGCTTATATTTAATGATATTAAAGCTCAGAGGAGGAAAAGGTAACTATGGGTGGGACTAGAGAAGGCCTGAAGGAAGAGAGAATTACTTTAGCAAAGTGGAAATCAGATAGGCAATAGGGAGACAGGGAGGCTTGTAAAAGGCCTATCTGGGTCACTGGAGTTTGTGGGTGTGCAGTGGGAGGTAAGGTTGGAAAGATACACGAAGCGTAAACTGGATGGCGTGGCTACCTGTCTATTTCTACTGTGCAGATGAAAGTGGATTATGCATGTTAGAAGCTTGGTTCTGGGCTGGCACAGAGCAGAACTGCAGCCAATGGTATATTAAAAAAAAGATCAGGCTAGTTTGGCATTTTACTCTTTTTGTAAAAACTGAGCAAATGACCCTTCTGTTTCTCAATGTTCATAAATTCTTGCTAATTCTTACAGAGAATTATTATTGTCTGGCTAAAGGAATCCCGGTGTGGCGCTGTGCATTAATGCGCTGGACTGCAAAGCCGTTTGAACTGCAAGCTCACCAGATGCTCCTCAGAAACCCTATACAGGGTCGCAATTGACTCAACGGCACTTCACAACAACATAACAAAGTGTGTTTATATAGGAGTATTTGGCACCTAAAAACACTTTTCAATGTAGTAATGGGTCCAAATGGGAAGTTATTAAAAGCCCCAAAGGTAGGGCTCATTCACTGGAATCTCACTAGGTGGGGTAACTCAGTCTAGCCAATCCAACATAAATTGGAACATCCTTTAGATCCAACAGGGGAACTGAGGAGAAAAATTGAGGAGATTCTGGGTCATTTTATTTGTTCAGTGAAAAAAAGCTACATTTTATTAAGCAGGGTGATCTCCAAAGCAGATAGATGGAAGCTGAATGACAGGAGCCTTTTGACCAAGGAGTTAGAAGGCCACCTGGTGGTGAAGCTGGCAGACAGAGATACAGCTAAAAGTATATTAGACTTTTTACTGAATAACATAAAAATAACAATGCCTATCATTTAGCCATTTGAACTGCAAGGTCGGCAGTTCAAGCTCACCAGCTGCTCCTAGGAAACCCTATACAGGGTCGCTATAGGTCGGAACCGACTCAATGGCACTTAACAACAACAACATCATTTTAGTGAGTACAAACTCTGCACCATGTGTGTACCTCATTTATTCACCATATCTTTCATCTTAGAGAGGCAAATAAGGCTCAGAGAGGTTACCGTGGGTGAGCATACAAGTGGTGGAGCTGGGATTCAGATGCAGGTCAGTCCCATAGTACTCTATTTTGCTGCCTTTTAGTGTTCTGCCTCTTACAAAAATGAGCAGTCGAATGAGAGAGACACCTACACTTTGAAAACATCCTTCCTTTGTCATTAAGTAAAAAAAAGAAAGAAACATGCCAACCTATTTCATTTATATTAGAGAGAATGAAAGAAAAGGGGATTTTTTTTTTCCCAAGGGGAAGTCCCCAAAGGGGGAGTTTTTCTGGAGAAAGGAGGGGTTCCTGTATATACTCGGAGTCTTGGGGGATGGTGAGAACAGCAAATCAACTTGAGGGCTGCTCTTAACTATGTTAACTAATGTGCAGTGAGCCATTTCACCTGGGTTTGTAACTGTTCACTACAGTGAACCTATGTGCACCTTGCTTATCGGGTAAGCCTGCTCATCTCCACCTAGAGCTCCTCATCTGAAACCCTCTGTAGCAAAGGTTTTGCAGAACTCAGATGTTTTTGGAATTTGACAGAACTGATCTAAAGTACAAACACTGTATATTTGGCAGCATCAAATGTCTTATTATATTAGGTAGATCTACTGCACAAGACCTCCTTAAAGTGTTTAAGAGCAAAGACATCAGTTTGAAGACTAAGGTGAGCCTGACCCAAGTCATGGTATTTTCAATTGCCTGATGGTGTGGCGCTGTGGGTTAATGTGCTAGACTACAAAATCAGTTTGAACGTAAGGCTGGAGGTTGAAGCTCACCAGCAGCTCCTCAGAAACCCTATACAGGGTTGTTATGGGTCGGAACTGACAACGACATATGCATGTGGAAGTTAGACAATGAATAAGGAAGACTGTAGAAGAATTGCTGCATTTGAATTATACCGTTAGACAAGAACAGCCAGAATGATGGCTAGAAGTCAGGATGGCAAGACTTTGTCTCTCATACTTTGAACATATTATCAGGAAAAGTCCCTGGAGAAGGCCATCACGCTTGGTAAAGTGGAGGGTTAACGAAAAAGATGAAGACCCCCAATGAGATGGACTAATACAGTGGGCTCAAATGTAACGCCTGTGAGGATGGTGCAGGACTGCAGTGTTTTGGTCTGTTGTGTGTGTCATTATGAGTGGGAAACAACTTGATGGTACCTAATAACAACAAAGGCGAGTCGAGGAGCTCTTGTCGGACTTAGGATAAGTACTAGACTGTTAACCACAAACTCGGCAGTTTAAATCCACCAGCCACTCTGTGGGAGAAAGATAAAGGCTGCCCACTCCTGGAAAGATTTACCGCCTTGGAAACCTTATACAATGTTATTATGAATCTGAAAGGCGGAGCATGGTGGCTCTGTAGGATAAGTTGTTGTTAAGTGCTGCCAAGTCAGTTCTGACTCATAGCAACCCACATAGAGTTTCCAAGAAGAGACTAGTGGGCTTGAACCATTCACCTTTCAGCTCAAACAGACCTTGCAGTTCTGTGCTTAATCCTATAGCTCCACACCAGAACTGCTCCATAGGATAAGTACTGGACTGCTAACTACAAGGCTTGTGGTTTGAGCCCATCAGCGGCTCCACAAGAGAAGGATGAGGGTTTTTGCTTCTGCACAGATTTATAGCCTTGGAAACATTGCTATGAGTTGGAACTCGTATGGCACTCAACAACAACAACAACAATATGAATCTGAATCAACTTGCTGGCAGTGGGCGGGTTAAAGGAGGGTCTGGACGACCTTAGTAGTGAAACATATTTCTGCAGTGACACATATGAATATTGACATCAAGTAGGATACAAACAAATCATAGATAACTTCAGTTTTGTTCAGCAACCAAAATGAGTTTACCATCAAATGAGTGGCAGACTGATGAAAAATATTAGGCTTTCAGAATTTTTTTAAGTTTCAGAATTGCAGATAGGAAAGTACGGAAAGTAACAGCAGGGATAACTATCAGCAGTCTTAATATGTACTATGTCACTTAATTCTCAAAACATACAAGGGGATTGAAAAAGTTCATGGGAAAATTCTGTTATCTTCTAATTTCATTTTTCCCAGGAACTCTGTGAAGCTCCCTTATCTATGGCACAGTATGGGTGCTTGGAACATGGGCACCATGGTATAATTCCATCATGTAGTTGTGAAGAGCCTGGGCCCTAGCCAGGCTTTAGTCCCACTTAGTAGCTGTGTGAATTTAGTAAATTACTTAACTTCCCTGTGTCCAGTTTCCTCATTTGGAAAATGAGGGATCATACTAGTATTGATTTCATTGGGTTGGTATGAGGATTAAACAAGTTATTTTTTGAAAAGTGCCTGGCACATAGCAAAAATTTGTATTATTTTATTTCATTTTGCACATGGGCAACGTACACTTTAGAAATGTTCAGTAACTGGCCCAAGAATGTTGTTGTTATGTGCTGTGGGGTCGGCCCCAAAATACACAGCTATTAAACATGGGTCCAGGATTTGAACCTAGCAAATATGACTCCAGGCATACCCTCTAGGCTACAGCTTTGTGCCACATGCAAATAATTAGTCAAGAAACAAAGTAGCATGAGATAAAACAAAGTGTGTGTGAACTGCTGAATGAAAAAAATTATCTGCTCTGTAAAGCTTCACCTAATTTCACAATAAAAAGTTAACAGAGTAGCTACCAATCTAGAAACTTATGAAATAGTTGCTGTTTGAGGAATGTTGGGCGCTTGAGGCAGTTCAGTAATACAAAGGTACAATGATAGCCACCTGCCAACTTGATCAACTACTGCCAGAGGTCTCACTGACTAAACAACTAGCTTATTGTTCAACTGCTGGCCTTGATTTCCGATCTGATCTGTTGCTCATGACCTGTCCCCACCAGGCCGACTCACCATCAGGGCCCTGGCGGGCAGCAGCGTGCAGTGCTGTGTCCCCATGGCGGTCCTGGTGGGCAGGGTCAGCCCCCAGTCGAAGTAGCAGGCACAGAGCCGGGGCATCGTGGCGGGCACAGGCCCGGTGCAGTGGTGGAGGCTGTCCAGCATCTATGTCAAGATCTGGGTGTCGCTGGAGAAGGGCCTGGGCCCGGACCAGCCGTCCTGCAGACAAGTAACGACGGAAGCGTCGCTCTCGGCGCTGGCGGCGGCGGGAAGTGGAGGCCATGGAACTCTTGGGCTGAGGAGGAAGGAAAAAAAGGCAGCAGTCAGGACCCTAGCATTGGCTGATCTCTCCCCTTAGATCTCTGACATTCTCTTATTCCTCCCTTCAGTTCACCGTTTCTTCTTAAATCCTCAGCAAGAGATGAGGCATCTCTTAGCCCCCTCCTTCCTTACCAGAGGACTGGTTTGGGGGGAGGGGAATTTGAGTGGGGGGCGGCTGGGGTCACAGATTTAATTTTTTATATAAAATTTGAGAAAAGTATAAATAGTTGCTTTAAGGCTCATGAGCCCTGGTTAAGTTTAATTTGTAATAAAGGACTTTGAAAAAGACAACTAGAGACTGATGGGGGAAATTATTGTCAGCAAAAATATGAATTTAAGAAAGTCACAGATATTTTAAAATAATGAGCTAGAAATTGAATATAATGTACCCGGCAGACAGAGGTAGAGGCTTCTCCCTCGGGGACCTGGGGGGAGGGGTTACTCATCAGACCTGCCCCCCGCCCCCCCCAAATACCCCCAGAGCTGTAGGCCCGAGGCCTGTGTTTGAGACGCTCGGAGGAAGGGAGGCGGGAAGGGCGGAGACACTCCAGGCTGGCGGAAATGACGCACAGATACAAAGGTGAGGGGCGGAAACTAACTGTAAGGCGTGTTATCGGATGTCGTTCCACCTCGAGAGGGTGGTTTTTTGTCAAGCTTCCGGAAGGGAAACTAGGGAACGTAGATAAAGGGCCCGCCTGAAACCAGAAGAATGGACGGGAGGCGAGGAAAAGGATGGGGACGGAAAGGAGAGCTATTTTGAGGTTTAATTCTTCCTCCTCCGCCTGGAAGAAGAGGAGAGAAGATGGTTCAGTGATAGAGGAGCTGATGAAAGAAAGAAAACGGGTAATAAAGACGGAAGAAAGCCACAGTGAGAATGGAAAACGAAAACTAAGTTACTACGAACAACACCAAAAAAAATCAACAAAAACAGGACAGACAAAAGGAGATAATCGTAGCATATATACGGGGAATGAGGTGAATCCAGAAATTTGGACCTGAGAAAGAAATAGGGAAAAAAAAAATGGAGATAGGAATGGGAGGAAGAGAAAAAATAAGAGACGCGAAATTGGGAGAATTAAAGAGAGCTCTGGTAGTGTAGTGGTTACGAATCGGGCTGCTAACCGCAAGATCAGCAGTTCGAAACGACCAGCTGTTCCACGGGAGAAAGATGAGGCTTTTTGCTCCCATCAAGATTTACAGCCTCGGAAACTGTACATGGTCGCTATGAGTCGGAACCGACTCCACGGCACATAACCACCACCACATTGGGTTACGTGTTGGGCTGTTAATGACAAAGTCAGCAGGTCCTCTGGGGAAGGATGAGGCTTTCTGTTCCGATAAAGATTTACAGCCTCAGAAATCATATTGTTGTTAAGTGCCATCAAGTCGGTTCCCATTCATAGTGACTCTGTATAGGGTTTCCGAGGAGCTGCTTGTGGGTTTGAACGGCCGGCCTTGTGGTTAGCAATCCAGTGCTTATCAGCGCCACACCAGAACTCCAAGGAACCCTATACAAGGTCGCTGTGAGTCAGGCCTCCTCGACAGTACACAGCCACCACCACCAAGAGAAGCCCAGCACACTTTCACCGACGTGTGACATTCTTATCGCTTCACCCCATTCTCAACCTTTCTGTTACTCCTGCCTTAAGACCATCAATCACGTTCTCTTCCTTTCCCACCCATACACTCCTCTTTCCACCCAAGTCCCAATCCACAGACCTTCCAGACTGGGAATGAACAACTACTAAAATAGTTAGTGGTAGCTGACAGCTTTGGACCTGGTCTCTGCTACCCTCAAGCGGTCCTTTTGGGTACTGTCAGGATGAGAGGTGGGAGAGGTGGACCAAGGATCAATGCGGCGGATCTGATGGGGGAGACACCGGGTGCAGGAAACTGAGTGAAAAGGGGAGCACTAAGACCCAGGGGTAGTGGAGGATCACAACATCAAGCAGGAAGAGGAAAAGCAGGAGGTGGGGGTGGGAATCATCTAGTATCTTGGTACCTCCGCAATAGCATCAGAGACTAGGGCTGCAATGGCCAGTCAATCCCAGGGCATTCAGCAGCTCTTGCAAGCTGAGAAGCGAGCTGCTGAGAAGGTAGCGGATGCCAGAAAGAGTAAGTCTCTCTTCCCACGTTATGAGGTCTACAAAGAAAATGGGGGCAGGGAGCAAACATCTGAGTCTTTAGGAAAATCCAAGGTAGGTAGGAAAGAGCTGGGGACTGGGAATTAATAAAGAGGAAATAAATGGGTGGGTGTTCCAATCTAGAACCTGGTTATTTGAGGAAGGCAGAAGAGCTTTCTGAAACACTGGCCCTTTCGGTTACCTTTTTGGGGGATCCACCCCTGCCCCCTTTACTTTCTTCTTCTAGGGAAGGCCCGGCGTCTGAAGCAGGCAAAGGAGGAAGCCCAGATGGAGGTGGAGCAGTACCGCAGAGAGCGGGAGCAGGAATTCCAGAGCAAGCAGCAAGCTGTGAGTCCTGGAGCCATAAGGGTGGTAGGCCCAGAAAGCAAGTCCGGGGTGCATCTGGAGAGGTGCATATGGGGTGATCCAACAAGAAAACAGGTGGTAGGGCTGGATGAGACCCTATCAGGGACCACATTTGTCAAACTTTATGATATGTGACAGCCTGGATTTTTTTTAAGGATGATAAGCACTGGAATGTGAATTCCAAGGTCAGCAGTTTGGGCCCACCAGAGAAAAAAAGATGAGGCTTTCTACTCCTGCAAAAATTTACAGTTTCGGAAACCTTTACAGGTTCACTATGAGTTGGAACCAACAGCTAGCACTTGACAAAAACAGTAGTTTGGGGATGGAGCCCTGGGGGCGCTGTAGGATAAGCACTAGACTGGTAACCACAAGGTTGGCACTTCAAACCCATCGGCCACTCTGGGATAGAAAGATGAGGTTCTTTGCTACTGTAAAGACTACAGCCTCGGAAACCCTATACAGGGTCACTATGAGTCAGAGTGGACTTGACAGCACCTAACAAGAATGGAGTTTGAGGAGGGGGAGATTCCACAGTCTGAAGAATGATAACATTTGGGATATGGATAGGTTTATGGTCATAGGTAGTGAGGTGGTGGGGATTTTATAGTCTGTTTTAAGACAAAGGTACATGTTAGGTCTTAGAAGAAAGAAGAAAATCTTTGGGGTCTGGATATTTCTGTGGGATTAGGGTGGTTTTGGAGAGGTTGGTGTTTCTTTCTGAACTTGCTCCTGGATCTTTCTTTCTGCACACTTGGACCCTTTTTTCTCTATTTCTGCTTTTTCCTTTCTCTCTTACCCTCCCCCCACCTTCCAGGCCATGGGCTCCCAGGGGAACCTGTCCGCTGAGGTGGAGCAGGCCACAAGGAGCCAAGTGCAGGGCATGCAGGGTTGCCAGCAGAGAAACCGAGAGCGCGTCTTGGCCCAGCTTCTTGGCATGGTCTGTGAAGTCAGGCCCCAAGTCCACCCCAACTACCGGATTGCTGCCTAAGATAACCCCAAGGCCTGACTCCCCTCCTTCAAAAGAAAAAAATCCCCAAACTGAAATCACTTCCCATCACACGTCCTTCTCTCCTTCCCATTCCCTGAAAATTCTAGGAGACAGGATCCAATAATTCTATAAAGCTTACAAGTATTCTGTTTAGATTTGAATCCCGTTGTTCTTTAATGCTCTCTGTGACCTTGTCACCTTTACCCAGTCTCTATGTGAATCTTGTAGTATGGAGAAGTAGGGATGTGGGGAACACCCTGACTTCAGAGCCTGCTGAACTTGTGTTCCCTTCCCCACCCTGCTACTTGATGATGTGAAATCCCTGCTCTCCACACACCTGGCCTCAATGTCCCTCTCTGTGAAACTGGAATAATAACAATGCCTATCTTGCTGGGTTGCTGTAATGATTAGGCGTCATTCTATAGCGCGTACTGTGGTTCCTGGCATGTGCTAGTTTTGATTCCATAAATGGCAATCCTATGATATTAATATTACTCCCTGCCTACCTGCCAAACATAGATAGAGCTGTTTCCTTGACTTTGCCAATGGCTCTTTGATACCAATAATTCATTCTGTGACCTTAGTAATTTTCTGAAGAATTGTTTGTTCCTGCCTCCCTTTCCCCAGAGACTTTATGATCACTGAAAAGACAAAATGATGACCTAATTTAGTCCCTTTACTATGATTCCAAGGAGGCCTGGTGGGAGACTGGGCAGCTAATCACAAAGGAGCTCTGGTAGTGTAGTGGTTACAAATTGGGCTACGAACCTCAGGGTCAGCAGTTGGAAACTACCAGCTGTTCCATGGGAGAAAGATGAGGCTTTCTGCTCCTGTAAGTATTTACAGCCTTGGAAACTGTACAGGGTCACTGAATGATGAGTCATGATGAGTCTGAACTGACTCCACAGCACATAACAACAACAACAATCACAAAGTCAGCAGTTCAGAACCCACCAGGAGGTCCCCGGAAGAAAGATGTCTGCTCCCATGTAAAGATGAACAGTCTTGCAAACCTAAGGAGCACTTATAGAATTATAAGTGACATATAGAATTACATTGAGTCGGAATGGACTCTATGGCAGTAGGTTTTTGGAGTTTGACTACAATTCCAGAAAGACACTGCCTTTCAGCTTTTATTCTCTTTCAAGTTTGCTTTTCTCTGTATTGGAAGTTTCCCTTTCCTTGAGTCCCTGAAGACCTGTCAGATGCTCATTGAATCCTGAGATTTAAGGTGACACTATGTCCCCTCATCTGCATGATTTCCTTTCTACATCCTCAAGACCTTACTTTCCCTTTGGATTCCACCCATTTATGACAATAAACATGTGTCAATAAAAAACTTATGGGCAACCAATTGTTGAGTCAAAGCAGCCTCCTTTTGCTTCATTATTTATTTCTTTCAATCACTGTTATTCCTTGTTTATATATTCCCCAAATACTCAAAAGGGCGATTCTTTGAAACTTATTGGAGAAATAAAAGCAAAAGTATTTTAATATTTCTTTAAAGTGAGGAACATATATGGTTCCTTATTTGGTAACCTGAAGACTACAGGAGAAACCTTAGTGGTGCTATCGGTGTTCAATTGCTAATTGCAGAGTCGTAGATTCAAACCCACCAACCACTCCTTGCAAGAAAGATGAGACTGTCTGTTCCCATGAAGATTTACAGTTTCAGAAACCCTGTATAGGTTGCTATGAGTTGGAATTGACTTGATGACAGTTGGTTTGGATTTGGTTTGAGGACAATGGAGAGAAATTGCAGAGAAAGTTGGGGTGGAGGAATAAACACTTTTTAACTCCTTTGCTTTTTCTTCATAAAGCTTATTGCTACTTAACACTGCATTTATGTGTTTATATTATCTCCCCATCTATGTAAGCTCTTTGAGGACAGGGCTGCCCAGAATAGCACTTGATACAGGGTGAGCAGTTGATAAATATTGTTAAATAATTCGTAAGATTGGAGAAATGGCCCTTGTATGACACCATCCTTGCATCAGTGTTCTCTTGGCCACAGAATACAAGTCTGCTTCACCGTGGACTTGACCCAGTGAGGAAATCTATAGTGTATTTCTCAACCCAACTCTTCCATTCTTCAAATGGAAAGTTAGGATATAATAAAGATTAAGCGATCAGGTCCCGGAAATGTCAGCTTATTGCTAGCTGTATTACTTAGGGCATGTTGCTCTGCTGTTCTAAGCCTGTTTGCTTGTCTGTCTATAAAGGTTAAGTGTGATAACAGCACCTGGCCAAAACTTTGTCAATTTTGTTTTGCAGTTGGCCATCAGATCTGTAGCATCTCAAAGATGTGTCAAATATTTCAGGATAAAAATCTAGGCTGAACAATGGGGCTGTTGGGCAAAGAGGGTTAAGAATATTCTGGTCGAATTAAATATATGGAATGTTACACAATTGTCAAACCCTATCATTTATTTACTTTTAATGCTTGGACAGAATTTAGATTCTGTTTACCACTACGGATTTAGTACACCTTCCGAGTTCTGCAGCCACTGCCTACCAGAGTAAGGGCATCAATTAAAGAGGCTGATGTCATTCAGGCCAATTCTACCCACTCCGTCTTCTATCCATACGCTTTGGAGGAGCAGAAACCCCAAGTTTGTTCATTTCAGTTTTCTCCTCTAGTTTCCTTACATCCTAGAGTCAATAGGGGCGGGACGACCCTCGCGTGAGCCAAGGCGCCCACAAGTCACCTTGACGACCGGGTCAAGGACCCCGTGGGAACTCGCGGCCCCTGCCGCTCTCATTTATCGCGAGCCCACGGAGGGGTGCCCAGGGAGAAGACCTGTGTGGCGAGAGCCTAAACGAAGTGGTGAGTGTCATGAAGAAGAGTAGAAAAAGAGAGGCTAGATAACGATGGGAGAGGATACTAGTTTGCTTTTTGTTATTAACAGTAAACGGAGGCGTTAGAAATGGCTTTTTAAAAACTAATTATCAGGCATTTTTCAAAGGCAACCCCTGAGCGCGCGAAACTTTAGACCCACAAAAGGTTCTTGTTCCGGTCCCTTGCGCCTGCGTGCTAGCAGCCGAGAAGGCGGGAGGCCGAGGGAGAAGGAAGACAGGTACCGGAAGTGAAGGCAGATTCTTTTTCGTCGCTGTTGCCGCCGCCATACGTGCCCGCCCTGCTGTGGTAAGCTTCGGCCTTCTTTACCATCCGCCTTCATCCGTGCTTCTTAGGGGCCATCTAGTTGTATGGGCGCCCGATACCCCTTTCATAGGCGATGATCTGGTCTCTTGGGTCTAGACGGGTCATTTCTGTGTTCTGCATCCTTTTTTAGCGCAACGAGTGGGGGGAGGTCGAAGAAACTGGGGGAAGGGGGCCCAATCCAAAATGGTGGTCCCGGCGCCATTGTGTTCATATTGCACCCAGCTCCACCGCTGGCCTCCTCGTTAGTCAGGTGCTCCAGCAACGACGAGAGGCGTCCCTTGTTCCCGGGCATTTGCAGAGGGCGGGGCTCGTTTCATTTTACCCCTCCCCTTCGGCGGGAACGGGTGAGAGCCTGCATCGGGATCCAGGTGGACTTTTCTCGCCTGGATTTGCCCGCCTTTATTTGATGTGCTTGCCTAACGTTTACCAATGGTGCCATTGTGTGTTTTATGAGAAAAAGTCTCATCTGAACAGTAGCACAAAGGTGACGTGAGACCGTTTGATAAAAGTGTGGTGGTAAAGCTGGATCGAACAAGTTTCCCCTTCAGTGATACCGGTGCAATTCAGTATATAGTGAAAAGTTGAATGCTTCTTTTCGGTGGGGCCATTTGCCCTTTCCCGCCCCTAATTACAGCAGGGTTTCTTAAAGCATTGAAAGGGAGGAGACTGAAGAGTCGGGGGGCTGGCGCGCGGTGAGAGGTGGATGGCAGCCACATGATGTTTTCATTATGAGAAAGGAGCGCTTTGCGCTGTGATGACCTTTATCTATCACCCTTCACTGATGGCTGCTGGGTTGGAGGTCCACGCCTTAACATTGTAGCCAGGGACAGCGCAAGGTTACCCTTGAGGATTTCGCAGGGCTTTCTTCATGCCAATTCACATTTTCCCGCCTCTCCAACTGCTAGTGTATTCTATTTTTCGATATTCTCTATTCCTTCTCTTGCTGCTTAGAGGCTGCTGAATGGTGGAAACTATTAAGCTCTTGACTACCCAAAGGTTGGTGGTTCGAACCCACCCAGAAACACCTGTCAGACAGGCCTGACCATGTGCTTCTAACCCTGGGAAGTCGTTATTATACTCTGCACGCATGGAGTCGTGATTAGTTGCATACTACAACAAACAACATTGCTCATATAAAAAACTTGTTGTCATCTAGTCAGTTCCAACTCCCAAACCTTATTACAGACTGTTTCTCCACGTCTTTCTCCTTTGGAGTGTCTGATTGATTGGAACCACCAACTTTTCAGTTAGCAGCCACACCCCTAACCACAGCATTGCCAGGGCTTCTCATTGCTAATTCCAGATCAGGAATTCATAAGTTGGTTTTTATTTTCTAACTTAGGTTTTTGCTACTCTGATCCTACCTAGTATTATTGGTAATCTGTGTCGAAACTACCTGTTCTGTGAGCACATTTTCCACTTACGCTTACTTTTCACTTCTATGTATAGAATCTTTTTGTTACCTTTTGTTTCTAGGAAGAGGTTTCATAGTTTAGGGAAAGAGAGAAGAGTGTGGGGATGGAGATTCGATGCTGAAGATTCTGCTCATGACTGATATGTCTTACCTTTTTTTTTCTCCCCCTTTCTTAGCTTTTCTAATAGAAACTAGTGTCCTTTTCCTCTCCTGTTCCCTAAACCCCACTCTTCCTGTTTGATTTCACTTATTCTTCGTGAACCCATCCAGAGACCCTTCCCCTTCTCCCTCTGCCGGCCCAGTTATGGCAGAAAACGATGTGGACAATGAGCTCTTGGACTATGAAGATGATGAAGTGGAGACAGCAGCTGGAGGAGATGGGGCTGAGGCCCCTGCCAAGAAGGATGTCAAGGGCTCCTATGTCTCCATCCACAGCTCTGGCTTTCGTGACTTCCTACTCAAGCCAGAGTTGCTCCGTGCCATTGTTGACTGTGGTTTTGAGCATCCCTCAGAAGGTAATTCTTTTTAGACCTAGAGTACTCATTCGCCTGTTTGACACTAAGAAGCAGACATGTTTATGGTTTCTTGGGTGATAGAGCTTTATTGTTGAGATAGGAAAGTACCCAAAAAAAACCTATTTTGGCAAGAGAAGAGATTTGTGTATGTTGTTATGTCAATCATCAGCACAAAAGTGCTAGTTATCCCAAAGGAACTTAGAGGTCTACTTGTAACTGGCTTTTTTCCTTTTCTGCTTGTTTTAATGTGTTTCTTTGGTTCTGCTTTTAAACTACTAGGAGTTGAATTTCTGATATCTCAGTGGATTAAGTGTTGGCAGTTTCAACCCACCAGCCACTGAAAAAACTCAGAGTCTGTTTCCATAAATATTTATAGCTAGCCCTGTGGGCCAGTTCCAGTCTGTCTTAGAGAGTTGTTATGAGTCAGAATCTGCTTGATGGCAGTGGATTTGTTTGTTTTTTTGAGAGAGAGGTTTAGTTGGGCCTTTAGTCTCCCTTCATTGGGCCAGGGCCAACTCTGGTCCCTGGAAATCTTTATAAATAGCCTAAAGATAGCTGGCTTCTAGGTCAGGTACCAAGTCCTTCATTTTGTCCAAGCTTGCAGGGTTACGTGACCCAAAGTTCGCAGCCTAATTGGGAGAAATGGCCTGTGGCAGGCATTCAGTGTCCTGGATTGTTTCAGGTTAAGGAAAATAAGGACAGAGCCAGGAGCACTAAAGGTGAGCTGTTGGGATTTGAGAGGGTTAGCAGCACCAGGGAGCCCTGGAGCTGGAGGAGGCAAGAGCTAGAAGGAACTAGAAGGGTCTGATTTGGGGATGAATGTGAGTGATTGAGTGATAAGGAGAGGTAGGAAGAAGGGTCTGAGTGGTGAAAACCCAGGAAATAGTCAGGGACTTGAGTGGTGAAAAATGGGTATGACATGGTAAAGAAGTTTGAGGAGTTAATTTGGAGACTGCATATTAATTTATCTTTTTTCTCTCTTAATTTTTAGTACAGCATGAGTGCATCCCTCAGGCCATTCTGGGAATGGATGTCCTGTGCCAGGCCAAGTCAGGCATGGGAAAGACAGCCGTGTTTGTGCTGGCCACACTGCAACAGCTGGAGCCAGTTACTGGGCAGGTATACTCAGAGGATGGGTGTTTCTGGAGAAGGCAGTTAGCTTGGGAAGTGTGTTGCTGTCCCAGTTACATGGTCTTTTCAGAGCCATGAGTACTTGTTGCTAAGATAATCTCTACCATCTTTGATGACCATGGTGGGAGGGAGTACTTTAATAAGTCTTGTTGAGGTGGATGGTTGTGTTAATGATTTCTGTAATAATGAAAGAACATACTGTATGTTTGTCTTTGTCCCCCACTCCCTACCCCACTGAAGGTTTCTGTGCTGGTGATGTGTCACACTCGGGAGTTGGCGTTCCAGATCAGCAAGGAGTATGAGCGATTCTCTAAATATATGCCCAATGTCAAGGTAAGCCAGAGTGAGAAGATGTGGGAGGGTGAAGGTGTTGGGAGCTGGAGATCTCTGTTGAGACTTGTACACTGGCCATCTTCCTGTCCCACAGGTATTAAAAATCTGTACGTGAATCTCAACTATACATGCCGCAGACAATGAGTTCCTGCACATTTTGGGTGTATGAAACATTTTATTAAAATACAAGGTTTATTGGGATATGGCATTAATAGCTTCTGTATCTTAATTTTGGAGAAGCTTTATTTGCTTTGGCTTCTGTCACGGGATAAATGTACTTGTGCAAAGGAGAGGTCATTGTGATTGGGCTATGGATAGTGCTTACCATAAGACCACTCTTTTTCTGTCTACTGTACACCAATTTTGAATCATTTTTCTGTCCTTTGGCTGACAGTTGGGCTGTGTGATAAGGGATGGCTATTGTGTGTGAATTTTGAGGATTAAAATGACAAAAGATGGAAAGATGCCTGGGAGCCACAACAGAGTTGGTTTGTGCTAGTTTTCATTAAGTAACTGCTAACAGTGTGGTTCTCAGACCTATCTATCACTTCAGCAGCATCTGAAGCATCATAGTTCGGCTCCCAATCCAGAACTATTGAATGTGAACATTCATTTTAAAGAGATCCCCAGGAGTTTTAGAACTGGGGTATATAGTAACTTCTTATCCTCTTTGCTGAGAGGTGACAAAGAGTACTTTGATTCAGGTTATTACTAACTTTCCCTTAGATTGCTCATTGAGTTTTAAAGGAGTTGGGAGTTAAAAGTCTTCAAAAAATTAAAGTAGTAGCGTTCTACCTGTGCATGGTGAAAACACTGAAATAATTTGTAAGACTTTATAACAAAGATTTGTGTGATCCCATTTCTAATCTTACTGCATAAAAGGTAATTGTTAACCAGTTATTATGGTCATGCTCCTGCAAAGATTTACAGCCTTGGAGTTGAAACTGACTCAACAGCATTTAACAACAGTGCATCTATGTAACCAAATAATAGTCACTTTTTTCTTTCAGTGGTAAAAACATACAATAAAATACTTGCCATTTCTGTATGTGTACTATTACGACATTAATTATGTTTACCATATTGTGCACCCATCACCATTGTTTCCAATTTTTTTATTATCCTTCGCCAGCCAGAAAGGCACTGTTTTATTGATTTACTAAATTGCGCACTTTTTAAAGTTTCCTTTCATGAAGGATTGTTTAGTTCATTTATATTACTTTTCTAGTATTTGGAAATGACAGTAGCTTTTGTTCTTTAAATGTGGTTTGCATGCCACATGGTGAGTATGTGTGTTGTTACACATAACTCTTCCTTTTTGTTGCTAGAGTCAGGGAGTAGCATTTACTTACATAAACATGGCCTGTTTATCAAGCAGTCTTGTCTGGCTTGATTGTAAAAGTTGAAAACCAGGAAACAGTTTACATTGTTAGGTCTAGGAAAGATGGTTGTGCCTACTAGTGAGCTAGGATCCTACTTCTTCCCATAGAGGACAAATTCATTCCCTTTGGCTACTCAAAATATTCTTGTTACCAAGATCAGTTACAAATTATCTTTTCAAGTGTTGTTCAGAATTAATGCTTCAGTGGCTTGTTGGGAGATTGGGCAAGTTAAAATGTCACACTAAAGTAGCTTTTGCCATTGTGGCCCAAGGATGAGCACTTGACTGCTAACCAGGTTGTTGGCAGTTTGAACCCACCAGCTGCTCAATGGGAGAAAACACCTAGTGTCCTCTTGTGTAAAATTGTTAAGTACTGTCGAGTCTGTTCTAACTCATAGCGAATTTGTATAGGTTTTCCGAGGAACGGCCTTGTATAGGGAGGGTTTCTGAGCTTAAACTGCCTTACAGTTCAGCCGACTTTGCAGTCCAGCACATTAACCCACACCGCCAAACCAGATTGTTGTTAAGTGCTGTCGAGCTGGTTCTGACCCATAGCGACCCTCTAGAGGATTTCCAAGGAGCGACTGGTGAACTTGAACCACCAACCCTGCAATTCAAACTGACTGAAGTCTAGCACATTAACCCACAGTGCCACACTAGGACTCCTGGGAAATCCTGTGGGACAGTTGTACTCTGATAATGGGTTGCTTTGAGTCAAAATTGACTTGATAGCACATAGCAGCAAAGTCTCTGAAGTGTTTTAAGAGTTGGGTTGGATAACACTGAAAGAATGTAGAATTTGGAATATTTCCTTCCTTGTGAGACTCACTCTTTTCTCTCTCCTGGGTTGACAGGTCGCAGTTTTTTTTGGTGGTCTGTCTATCAAGAAGGATGAAGAGGTGCTGAAGAAGAATTGCCCGCATATTGTCGTGGGGACCCCTGGCCGCATCCTGGCCCTGGCTCGAAATAAGAGCTTGAACCTTAAACACATTAAACACTTTATTTTGGATGAGTGTGATAAGATGCTTGAACAGCTCGGTGAGTGGCCATGCTGCCGCTGGGGTGCTAATGTGGGAAGTTGCCATTTGGAGCCAAATGATGTTTATTTGATAAAGGAGCACATCAGTGCGAGGATGACTCTTTATCTATCACCCATGACTGATGGCTCTGGACTCGCTGCTGGGTGGCAAGGGTTAGGGAGCTTAAGTCAGTCTTTGGTATCCTTTTAAGCAGCTTTGCGATCAGGGAGAAAGGTGTCTGTTCTCCCTTTCTGTGACAGATGTTTTTTCACCTTTAAGAGTAGGGGACTTTGCTAACCTTAGATATCACCACCACCTTGGTAGATTCCCTCCCATGGTGCATGTCATAAGGAAGATGTTAAACTGGAAGAGAAAACAGTTATCATTAGGCAGTTCCAGCATCACATATAGAGCCAGAATTTACAGCTGAATAGCTCTTTAGACCAAAGTTCTAGGATTAGTGTTGGGAGTATTGTGTGATATTCATTGTGGTGGTAAGTGCATTGAGTCAATCCCAACTCCTAGTGGCCCTGTATGGAGTTTTGGAGGAGCAGCTGGTGAGTTTGAACCTCTGACTTTGTGGTTAACAGTCCAGTGCTTATCCAACAGCACCAGGACTCTTCCAATATGCTATGTGGAGTTAATGAAGGGACACTGTAAGGATTAGATTTGAAATGGGAACATGGGATGAACATTGCCAGGGGAGTAGTTATCCTGAACAATCTGGTTATTGAAGAGGGCAAGCTCGCAGGTGGACTCTAGATAATAGATGTCAAATTTGCCTATCTGGAATGGAATAAAATGTTCTGTATTTGTTGACTGCTAGCAGCTGGCACTTGGGGAGAGATCGGTTATAGGAGAAAGATGAGGCTGTCTGCTCCTGTAAAGATTTGCAATCTTAGAAACCTTTTGTCTCTAGAGGGTCACTATGAATTGGGATTGACTGGATGGCAATTGTGTGTGTATGTGTGTGTGTGTGTTGAGTTTAGAGTTGGAAAATGCACCGAAAAAGCATTTTTTGAATACTTTTTCCTTTTGAGGACTCCTGTAGGATCAGCACTGGGCTGTGAACCAAAAGGTTGGCAGTTAAAACCCACTAGCTGCTCCTCGGAAATCCCATACAGGGTCGCTGAGACTCTTGAGATGGATTTTATTGTTGTAGTCACTTAGGTTTCGTGATCTGGAAGATGATCACAAATTTTTGTTCCAAATGCTTTGCTCTTTTCTATTTTTATTTTTATTTTCTATTTCTATTGTTTTGATTTTGTAGTGGTTGGAGAAAATAGACCATAGGCAAATCTTCCCATAAAATGACTGTATTGCTTTTCACTTCATTGGAAAGCCTGCCTCTGAACTTTATTTTTAATATTTCTTTTTGCCTGGATATTTTTTCTTATAGACATGCGTCGGGATGTCCAGGAAATTTTTCGCATGACCCCCCATGAGAAGCAGGTCATGATGTTCAGTGCTACCTTGAGCAAAGACATCCGTCCAGTCTGCCGAAAGTTCATGCAAGACGTAAATACCCTTCTACCTTCTCTCCCTCCACTCCCCGCCCGCCGCCTCCTCCCCTTCCTCGCCCTCTTCCTTCAGACTCCCTTATCCTTCAAGAGCTGAGAAGGGAGCACGTGCCTGTCTGGAGTGGTGACTCCTTGAAGAGAGATACAGTGGCAGAGACAGCTAGTGTTAGGGTGTGCGCAGGCGCCAGGGAAACTCCGGAAGACTTGGTCGGGTTAACATGAGATCGGGTAGTGTTCGACGTTTTTGGTTTTTGTTTTTATAAAAGAAACTACAGATTTTTTTTTGAACCTCTTCTCCCTTTTGGGGGAGGGCAGGATTTTCTGCCTTACCACCCATTGTCTCTTAAATACTCCCTACAACCATGCACCCTCAAGGTGGCATCGAACATACAACTGGAGCTTTCTGCTCCCCCAAACTCATACCTCCCGGTGACAGGAGAGCAAGAGAGGGACAGACAGATGGCAGGGCGTTTCCAGAAGAAGAGCAAGCAGCACAAATGAATTTGCCCCCTCCCCATCTCCAGGGGTGGGGGCCTCTGGCACCTCAATCCCCAATTCCCTACTCCTTTCCCACCCTTACTTCCTCGCACCCATCCGGAACCTCGGTTGATGTGAGTCGGCAACAGAATACACCATTGGCTCGGCGGGGGAATGTGGACAGCAGCCAGCGGTGGATGGCGGCAGGCGAACCTGCAGGGAAACCTGACCAGGAAGCTGAGGACCAAACCAGCCTCTTTTTTTTTTTTTTTTTTTTTTTTTTTTTTTTTTTTTTTTTTTTTTTTTGTATTTTTTTTTTTTTTTTTTTTTTTTTGTTCTGTTCCAGACCTAGAGGGTTGTCAAAGGCC